CTCCCAGGTGATTTTGGAGGCCCACCAGGTTGGAGGGTGCTGACCTAGCTCGCCCTCCCTCGCCTGCCTGCCTTGGGACAGCTCTCTTGCTGGCTCAGGAGGAATGGGAGTTGGGGGGGTTGGGGGAGGCGGAGAAGGGGCCACCCTTTCAGCTACCCCTTCCTGACTGCATGAGGAAGGAGTGCATCTTTTCTCTCCCACACAGACCTGTTGCCAATCAGGATGGTCGGAATCAGTTAGAAATGGTTTTAAAGTGAAGTGTTTTCTGACTGCCTGTAGGGGAAAAAAAAGTAAGGGCATCCTAGGATGGGAATTAGGCCCCTCTACCCTCCAAAGCTTGGAAGCTTGGTCACTCTCTTCTCGTTCTTTCTGAGAGCTAGGTGGTCCGACAAGCGAGGAAGAATCCAAGGTGCTGGGGAGACCCTGGGAAGACTAGAGAGCCACTCCCTCCCTCCCACCCAATAACACTCCAAGGGACCCAGAGAGCCTGCCCGCTCCTTCCTCTGCTCCTGCGGGATCAGCACACATGGCTGGCTTGGGACTCCCATGGGAAGCCTGGGTGCTTTCTCTTTCTCTTACAGCTGGAAGGCATGTGAGAGGGTGAGAGACAGGGCGCAGGGAGTGTGTGTGTGTGTGTGTGTGTGTGTGTGTGTGTGTGTGTGTGTGTGAGAGAGAGAGGGCATGGGCATGTGGCTAGTGCTACTCACTGTAGTGGAGTTCTGTGGGCCAGGTCCAGAGGGTGGAGGGGAAGGGGCAGAAGGCCTTTTTGTGTTTGTGTGTGCCCGTGAGAAAGTCTAGACCCTCTCTCTTTCTGTGTGTGTGTGTGCCTGCGCACCCAAGAACGTGTGAAAGGTGCAGAGAAACGAGTTCTGGAGTCTGGTTTCTATGGAAACACCTGCCAAGTAGAAATACAGCAAACATCTGTACCAAGAACGTTTCCCTGTTGCCCTGAACCCGTGGAGGGAATGAAGGCTGGCCTGGAGCTAACTGGAAAGGAGAAGGGTGTGAGAAAGGGAAGAGGGAAGGAGCCCAACAGAGAGTAGCTAGACCTTTACAGGAGGGAGAATGATTCCAGGTCACCTGCCCTGCTCCCCGCTGGGCTTACCTGCACACACCTGCCTCTCCTCTCCGCTCGCTCCCTCCGCTTCCTCCCCCACCCTTCAGCAGAGCTGGGGCAGCAGCAGCCAGCTAGGAGTTCTGATCGCCTGCTGGTGATGGTGCTTGTGTTTGCCTGGCTTTTCTTCCACCAGATCCTGCTGGGGTGGGGAGGTTAGGTTAGAGGGAGGGAGGGAGGTGACGAGAGAGGGAGGGAGCAGGGCGGGGAGGAGAGAGGGAGGGGACTTGGAAACGGAGGAATGACAAGAAAGTCTTTATTTGGCAGCCAAAACTCCCAAAGACTTCACCCCTACTCCATGCCCATGAACAGACTCGTTTTAATAACATTTCCTCCTCCTCCTGTTGCTGCTGCGGCTGCTTCTGGAGGGGGATTGTATGACCCCTGTTTGGAAATT